GGATGATTGGGAGAAAGGAAGGGGACCACAGGGTGGTTATGCAGATGTGTGACAGATTACAGGTACCTTATCAATTAAAAATTGTAATATGTAAAAAAAAAACCCATCTGCATTTATTGAGACCTTTTGAGATGGTCTGAACCTTTTGATGTGAGTTCAGCATTTTCTTGTTCAATTATGCTGGTAAAGATTCTATTTTCCAAAATAGCTATTTTGAGGTCTGTAATGGAATGCCTTTGGAAGTTGGAATGCCCTGGGTGCTTAAAATGCTCTGATACTACTTTCTCCTTGTTTTGAGGCCTGATGTCAAACATGTGTCCATTCATTCTTTTGCACAAGCTTTGTCCTATTGTCTTAAGTAGAATCCAGAGGGAGATTGCTGGTAGATGAACGTATAAAGGTGGGATATAAATTTAATAATTATTATTAGAAGATTCCCGTTATTGGAAGATGGATCACAGAAACAAGGAATTATTTATCTGTCTGCTTATCTATCAGCTGAAATAGGATGTCCTTAAAAGTTGCTATACCTGTACAAGGGTGCTAATAACTCTTCTCCAGGAGGTTGTTTTGTTGGTAGTGGCAACACTTTAAAAGGTATTAAACATGCACATTTGTATAAGTATATGCGGCCTTTCTACTGATAACCCTATGGAAGTATGGTGCTGAGGTGCAGAGACTACTGGTATTTGATCCGTGTCAAAGATTTTTAAAAAGCTTTAAAAGTTAGGACGCTGTAGCTGTTTCTGAACTGCTACATCTGGTAGGTTCAGTCAGTTTGGCCATTGCTGGGAGTTGTAATTCAGCAACAGATATGTTCCTCATTCTTGTTTTGAATTAAGCTCATGGTTTGTAATCAGTCTCAAATGTAATATGTTAAAGGAACACATTACTACTGCCTGTAGTTAAAGTAACCATTATATTTGCACAAATAACCCATATAGAGTTCCAGGTTTTTATTTATGTTGCATTTTATGGTTTGTTGTTTCTATATTTTCTGAGCTTACTGTATTTATTAAATAGTCCAATTAAATGCTCCACATCCTGTACATATTTCTCTGCTTTTTTATTTCTCATCATCCCATATGCCTGTTTGTAATTAAGGCAGTATTTAAAAGATAAATTATACAATATATTTGATTGTCAAATTTTATTTTTTCTATATAAAATATACAGCACAGCTGGGTGAACACTCAGGCTGTGTTCCCACAAAATTTAAGTCATGGTTTGATTAAGTATGGCTCAGTTAACTGAATAAGCAATAATTTGCAGCACGCACAACCTTTATTTGAGAGCCAGTTTGGTGTAGTAGTTAAGGCACAAGGCTAGAAACTGGGAGATGGTGTGTTCTAGTCCTGTCTTAGGTGCAAAGCCAGGCACACCCTCTCAGGTCTAGGAGGAAGGCCATGGCAAACCAGTTCTGAAAGCGTTGCCAGGAAAACTGCAGGGACTAGTCCAGGCAATTGCCAGGAGTCAAGACTGACTTAAAGTACTCAGTCTTCATGATACTATAGCCACCTAAAATGATAAGATGAATTTGGGTACTCTTCCATCATTAATACAACCAGTTATTGATTGGGTTGGGCAAGAAATAAATAGATCACTTTTAAAAATTAAGATTTCATCTGTTTTAAGTAAAATAGTGATATAATTTGTGACCCACATTTTGAGAGATATTGCAGTAAACCATGTTTTGACTAAGGTACAGTTGTCTGGGTTCTGTGAAAACATGGTATTTAAGCATGATCTGAAAACCACAGATACTGGTTTCATGCAATATGCTAATCCTGAACCAAGCAAACTACATAATGGCTTAGCTCAATATATGAATTTGGTCATTGTTTCGTAATCATCAAGGTTCATTTGCCAAGGTAAATACTCTGTGTTTCTCTCATAAACTTGACAAACTTGTCTTCATCCTGAGCTGGAAGGGAAGTAAAATTTCTTCATAGTTTTGGGAAGTCTTTAAGGTGCTCTTTAGTTTCTTGCAAATGCTACATGATAAGCTTAAGAAAGGCCTTCTCCTGAGATTAGAATACATAGGGGATCAGGGGGTTGTGCATATAAGCTTCTCATACCCTATTAATTGCCTAACCTGGCTTCAAGCTCGGGAGAGGAGTTATAGACAAGCAATATAAGATCAGGGGTAAAAACCTATCCTTAGAAGATATGAGAGCTTTCCATTGTTAGTTCTTCTCATCCAAAGACAGACTGAATTTATAGCAACCTGACAATAATAATTAGCAAATTTGTTTTTTGGAGGCAGCACAGTTATCAGAACTGTTGATAACTGAAGTACAGTATCTTTGTTCTAATACAGTTACATATGTTTAAATATTCTTTTTTGGGTAGACTGCCATATGCACCAGATAGATAGATAGATAGATAGATAGATAGATAGATAGATAGATAGATAGATAGATAGATAGATAGATAGATAGATATCCCCATTTGGCTGACCAAGTTCAGAACATTTATGGATCAGTTGATCTTGTCAAGCCATCGAAATAGAACAGTTGAATTACAGGGTGATTTCAGTGAGGTCAGAAGGACCATATTTTGTGATGTTAAACAATTCTTTCTGTCTGGCTTTGTGTACTTTACCTAAGTCATTCTGGTTGACTGACAGTCACATGATTGGGAACAGAAAACTCAGGAAAGTTGGCTCCAATGTTTGAATCACTTTTTGTGGTTGTGATTCATCCAGTTAGCTGTCTAGGCCTATAGTTGAATCATTTTAAATATTTTCTGCTTGCAGGACTTATTATGGAAAAACGCCTCTCATATTATTAGGGGACCAAAGGATTCATTTACAGATACTATGGCAAGTTTATGCGTAACAACGATAATGTGACAGATAAAACAAATAATATTGGGGAAACATTTTTTTTGAGAATGCATACATTTCCAAAAATGTATACACTGAAGAAAAATGGTTGAAAATACATGTTTAGATGTACCATATTATTAGCATTTTAAAATAAAAACATGTAATGCAGTTCCAGTTCTTAATTAATGATTACTGCTAAGTTTTGTTGACCCTTTTTTCCAGTTCACTAGCATCTGATATTTCTATATATACTTAAGAGTCAGACATAGTAGTAACTTACGATAGTAATAGAAGTATGTTTTTAAAAATATAAGAGTGAAAAGTTCATTCAAGTAATCATGGGGAAGTGTCTTAAAAATGGAATTGTATTTTTTGATGTTCTTTGTGCATAAGCTTATATGTTTAATATCTAGTATCTTCAGATGGGGAGATTTTTCTCTAAAATGCTAAGCTAGGATGTTCAACTTTTAGGGTTGCAGGATCTATTTAGTTTTTTTATTAGAATTACTAAGATTCACTAAGCATAACATTTGTGCTCTGAAAAGAAGACAAAGAATTGAAGAAAAAGAGCATATGGCCACCCCTAAAATTTGTTTTCACAGATCCTTTCACACAAATAATTTGTTTCTGTTGTTGTTGTTGTTGTGAGTTTAGTACCTGTTTTTATGGAGGTGGTGAAGAGATATCTGTTTTTTGTCATTGTTAAGCCCTTGGAAGATGATAAATCTCTGTTGATTTACTAGAAATCATTTGGAGATTTAGATCTTTCCTGATCCTACCCTTGGTATAGTTGGAGAATGATCTGCTACAGTGACATGGCTTGCACCCAATGCTGAATCAAAATGCAGTTTGTTTGTATATGGCTTAATGCAGTGTGTGAATCCAATTATTCCAGTCTATAAGCGATTATTAAACAATCATATTTGGTGCATGGTGTGAATTCAGCTAGTTGAAGTCACTTTACTATGTTCCTCAGCTTTAAATTCTAATTTTCTCATGTAAAAACAATCCTTGTCTGATTTGCATTTCATAATTGACATGCTTTTTTCAGTAATAGATAACTAACCAATGATAAGTGAAAATGAATTTTTACTTTGTTTCATTGGCTCACCTGAAATGTGTGTTTTTTAAAAATGATCACTTTTACCCAAGTTATATCTCCTTGTCTAAGTCTTTAGTGTCAATAATACTCTTGAAGGCAGTTGACTGGTTGGTTCTTTAAAAATTGTTTATATTTTAAAACTTTACAAAACTAAAAAGTTTTATTTACCTTCTTGGCAATTCATATAACTTAAGTATTTGTTATGTAGGTTATGTGGTCCAAATGCTGTAACTGCTTTTGATCCTATTGTTCACAGTGGTGAGAGGCTTTGGAGGAATTAACTGTGATTCCTAAGTAATTAACATTTTTTATAAGAAGCTGAAGATACTGTACTATTTATGTTGATTCAGGAATAATGAACTTGAATATCTTCTGATAAAGCAATGAAAAATTGCTGTAAACTATAAGAAATTAGTTTTGTATATTATAAAATCAAAATAATAGAATATTTTGCTTTGTATATATGAGACACATCAGAATGTTTAATGGGGTTGTCCTGTTAGTGTCACATTTTGGGTTGATATCAACAGAATTAGTAATATGGCTCCTGATCAATTGCTGTGTGAAATTTTTATGTTCTTCTTAATACCCTCCCAGTATTTGGAATCTTCAAGCTATCAAGTGGCTTTTCAGACCTGGGGGTTATCTAAAGGAATGATTATCCAACATATGAAGGAGAAATCTACTGTTGGTTTGCAGCAGTAGATTACTGACACATTATCATTCAGCATTTTAATTAGTTTTTTTCCCAGTAAGAGACAAGAAGGAAGATGTTTGAGCAAAACAATCCAAGTTTTTGGAGGAGTTCTGTTCTTAACATAATTTTCCAGGCTTTTCCATGTTTTTTATTTTTATTTATTATTAGAATGATTATGAATTTACATTATTTCATTAATACTCTTTTATGTACATATGCTTTATATTAATTAGATGGGGATAATAAAAGTACTAACAACAAACAGGTGAAAAAGTTGTTGGCTTGAAGATACAGTTGAGTAGTTTGGGTTGAAACAGTTATTTCTGGAGTTTGCTAGCAGATAGCAATGATACTTTCCCCCCTTTTTTCAGCTATACGTGGGAAGCTGTTGATCCTGATAAAGTGCATTATAGAATAAATCTCTGTGGCGGTGCAGGAGATTGTGGGAGATCCAGTGCCATTTGTGCCCATGACCTAAAAAAACAATTGTCTTTTTCAGTAGGTAAGTCTAAAGGTTTGTTTGCTACCTGGATTAAAAATGCCAAATGCCATCTGTTCAACTTCTCTGCTTTTTATAGATATTAGTGCTGAAGGCTTCTTGTTTTATTTTTTAATCAATTATGTGCCAAATCTCTCTGTTAAAAAATTAACTTACAGCAATTTGTGTCATATTTGTGTAACATGCAGAGATCATATTACAAAAGGGTATGATGGCTCCAAAGTTATAAGAATTAAAGAAAGCAGGTTTCCTAACTAAGAAGGTATCTGTGTGCATATCCTTCACGTTATTTTCTTTTGGGGTAAGCGGAATGATATGAAATGCCCCAAAACAATAAGAAATTCCTGTCTGTCTGTCTGTCTGTCTGTCTGTCTATCTATCTATCTATCTATCTATCTATCTATCTATC